AGTTTTTAGACTAGGGTCATATATTTTGGGAAAGAATATCACAGAGGTGATTTTCTTGGTGTTCTTGTCAAGTCAAATGAAGGGTACATGATATAAAAACATGTTCATGGAAGCAGTGTGTGCAATAGACAAAAACTGGAAACAAGTGTTTAATAACAGCGGATTAGTTTGGTGTATGTCTTGTTATATCCATATACTGAGATATTTTCTAGTTGGTATAAATTATGATATAGATTAATATTTATCAACTTAAAAAGACTGATTGCAAAGAAGGATATATAGTAAGATTTCATTTAAAATTTTAAAAATATCTATATGTAAATTTAGTTTAAAAACTTTGCATACTGCCTCACTTCAACCTTATGAGGAAGAAATTTTCATCCCAGAGCTTGTGCCTGAGTGTCCTGTGGCCTGGCCCATTTCTATTAAGAGTAGTGTAGCTTCCTCCCATTAGTGCCAATGTCCATACAGATGTTGACCCTCGTGACACAGGAAGCAGTTTTTATTCCTGGGAAAAACTGCACACACCAGAAAAATACCTCCCATCAGAAGGAGTACATGTTTTCCATAACCCCATTAAAAAATGGGCAATAGACAAGAACAGAAGCTTATCGAAAGCAGCCAGACAAACGGTCAACAAACAAATGAAGAAATGCTCAATATCACTAATCATTAGGGAAATGCAAATTAAAACCACAACGAGATACTACCTTACCCCTGTTAGAGTGGGCATTATTAAAGTCAAAAAACAAGAGATGCTGGCATGGACAGATGCAGAGAGAGGAACACTCATGTATTATTGTGGGGACGGTAAATTAGTCCAATCTCTATGGAAAGCAGTATGGAGATTCCTCAGAGGAATAAATGTAGACTTAACCATTTGACCCAGCAGTCCATATATAACTGGGTGTCTACCCAAAGGAAAAGACACCTGTGTGGAATGTTTATTGCAGCACTGTTCACAAGCACAAAGATGTGAAATCAATCTAAGTGTCCATCAATTGATGAGTAGATTTAAAAAAGTGATATATTTACATATGTATAAGTACATATATCCTACTGAGCCATAAAAAGAAATGAAATATTGTCTTTTGCAGCAACTTGGATGGAACTGGAGACCATTATCATTAGTGAAGTATCTCAGGAATGGAAAACAAACATCACATACACTCTCTCATAATTAGGAACTGATCAACCGGCGCACATTGGCACAGAGAGATGTAAAGGTCATTAGAAATCAAGAAGGGGAAAGAGGGGAGGAGAGACGGGGTGAAACCTACCTGTCAGGTACAATGAACACTATGCGGATGTCGGGCATACTAAAAGCTACAACTTACACATTGTAAAAGGTACTCATGTAATAGAACATTTGTACCTTCTTATTATTTTGAAATAAAAAATTAAAATTAAAGAAGTACATATTTTCAAAGGCATGTTCTACTCGAGGGGGCTAATGAGGTCTCCTAAATTTATTGCAAGGAATAAACAAAGTAACATCTACCTAGTAACATACATGAAAGTATTTGGCCCAAAAGGTAATTTTATTTTATTTTATTATATATATATATTTTTTTTTTTTTTTTTTGCAGTTTTTGGCTGGGGCTGGATTTGAACCCACCACCTCCAGCATATGGGGCTGGCACCTTACTCCTTTGGCCACAGGTGCTGCCCTAAAAGATAATTTTAGATGTTGGTCAAGCCTACAGTATCATATAGGAAGTGACAGAAATAGTGGGTCAAATGGGGAACAAAAATGTCTCTTTTTCATATGTGTAATTCTCACATACTTGTAATGTACTGAGAACTTCAGAAACAGGTAGCTAGATAGGATTTGTAGCTTTTGTAGGCCTGAGGGTGTAGTGGTTTTAAAACATGTCTACAAATCATTTGATACTTCCCTTACCAAGGGGTAGATCTATGTCTATTCCCCTTGAATGGACTCATCTTACTGACTGGTTAATCTCTAATAATGACCATTTGGAGGAAAAAGTTATTATAAGATATATTTCTTGCTTTCTTAATAAATAATTCAGAACACATTTGAACTTCTTTGCAACAATTCAGGTCATTGTCAAACATGATTTTACAATTCTGCTTTTTTGTAAAATGTGATTTGAAGATCTGCAATGGTAATTGTTTTCCTCCCATATTGTCTTTAAGTTCTATATGTTTCCTTTATATGATTTTCTCATTATCTCAGAATTATCAGTAAAGTTCTAAACAAGAATTTAAGGTAACTTTTCTTCTATAATGTTCCAAACAGGAAACTATTTAATTTCAGTTTGAATTCAATGTTACTTCTCTAGTTTTCACATTTATCATCCAAGTTGTTTTCGACTTCTATTCAGTAAAAATGTCATCTGACCAATTTGTGTGAAAATAGAGAGTAATTCCCATCCCAACCCCCTGGCTTTGGGAATTAGAAAAGTTCTGAGGGTCTACAAAGTTGCTAAAGGAACTTCGCAACTGAATTGCTGAATTTAATGATGATTGAGACTATTCGCAAGCTTATAAAGACAAAGATCAATATCATCAGTCTTGTCTATGGTAGAAAAGAATGAAGCCTATTAAAAAAGTGATGCAGTGGATGGAATGAGAACCTCAAAATAACCAAGCATGGGCCAGAATCTGATACTGTTCACCAGTAGAATTTCATGATGGAGTTGTGACAAGGGCCAAGCTGACCTGGATTTAAGATCCATCTCCTCAACTAACTTGCAGTGTAGATTTGACAAGATACTTAATTTCTTTGAGTCCTTGTTATTTGCAAAGAAAGGAAGATATGAATACTTACCTTCCTGTATTGTAACAAGTATTAAACACAGTAATGTCACCAAATCACTTAGCCAAGTTTCTAGCACTTCGTACAGGATCAAATATTATTTTTAATATTTTATCTCTATACCACCAACATCTTTTCCAGGAAAATGCAGTGCTACTTCGGCCAAACTGTAAAATAGAGACATTCATTTGGGCATTATTAATGCTCATCTGCCTGTCCTTGCACCATTTGACATTTTGAAATGAATGGTTAATAACTACCCCTCTGTGGTGTATACATCGTTTTGTTTCTTTTAGCCAGAATCTTGTCCTCAAGTCTAACCTAAATAAAGGGAACTGGAAAGACACTTGTTTATACAAAACTACGAATGGAAAGTTTTTCAGGTAACTTTTTGCGGGTAGATAAGTTAGAAGTAATATTTGGCTGTTAGTAATAAAAAGCTCAAAATAGTGGCTTGAATCAACTGACAGTTTTATTTTTCTCATAATAAAACTGGCAATAGTGTGGTTGCCTTTATGATATCAAAGACCTAGGTCCCTCTTATCTTTGTGCTTAGCCTGAATTGGTATATGCTTGCTGCTTTATGGTCACGTGAGGGCTGCCCCACCTTAACCTTCAGGTAGAAAGAAAGGAGGAGATAAAGGGATAAAGCCACATTCCAGCTGAGTCAGTATCTCCTTCCTTTTGAAAACTCTCAGGGAAACGTTCCTGTAACTTCCACTGACATCTCAATGGCTAGATCAGAGCTACACAACAGAACTTTCTACAATGATGGAAATATTCCTTATCTGAACTATCTGAGATGTTAGCCACTATACACTTAGGACTAAGCAGCATGTAAAATGTGCCTAATGGAATAAAGAAAATGAACTTTTAATTTCATCTAATTTTAGTACATTTAAATTTAGATAGGTGTATCTATCTTGTGGCTACCATATTGAACTGTGCAAAGCTATACCTTAGTCACATGATGACCTCATCTACAAGAAGGGCTGGAAAATGTAGGTTTGGAGCTGAGCACACTCCTACCTCCTACAGAATTGTGGCTTTCTTAGTAAGGAAAAACCAATGTAAATATAGGTTGGGCAAAGAGCAGTCTCTGCAACAGAGGGATAGCTGCAGGCTCATTTCCTTAAGCCCAGAGGAATGGAGTCCTAATGGGTTTATCACAGGCATGAGGAATGGTGTGTCTGGTAAGATATTAAGTAGCTTAAAAGCAGAATCTTGGAGCTGGAGTTGAATTCAAGTACCTTGTTTTTGCAATGAGGAAACTGAGACTCAGAAGGATGACTGAGAGGCCTTATTAATAGATAAATAGGATTATATGCTCTGAAGTAGTATAGTGTTGAATGGTCTTTATAAATCACCCATAATAAAAGGTAAAATCTCAGAAAGAAAATGCCCTGGGCCTATGTTTTTTAAATATTCAGATTTAAATATTTTTTAAATTTAAGAAAGAAAAGCTAGAGAGATTTTGATGCCACCTATTGGTAGACAAAAGTATAAGGTGTCTTTTCATAGCATAGCTAGTTGCTTCGTGTTAGAGGCAACCACAGGTCATACAGGGTTTCCCTATAAATGAATGACAGTGAAAGATGTAATCCCTCATCAGCTTGGAACATTGACTCCAACATTCATTCTCCATTGACTCTCAACATTCTAGAAGCATTTTCTTAGAGTAGTCCTCTATGCTTTCCAGTAACACAACCAACCTCAGGCATATACAGAAACTCCAGAGGAAGACATATCAGTCAATTCTCATAAGCACCTCAAAGAGAAAAAAAGAACAAAATGTTTGAGATATAAATAATCCTGGGGTGACAGTCAAGGTTCTTATTTGATCCACATTCTCAAAAATAAATCCTGTTATTTGCAGCAGTCCCCTTGACTAGTTGAATATGTATCCACCCTACAGCTTGAAAGAAAAAAAAAAAAAAAGGAAAACAGAAATTCAATTTCAAAACAAAATGCTCAGCCTGACTCATTCAGGGAAGGATCCAAGGTTTTTGATGCAGGGCACTGACTCTCTGCCTATTTTTCCCCTTCATCATCTGCTACCCTTAAAAAAATGGTATCAACTGCATTGGTAAGAATCACATCTCTTTCCATTTGTTCCCTGGCTCCATTCCAGCATTTCACTTGTCACAGTGATGGGTGAGATGCCTTTCATATTGGCATAAGACAACGAACGGATGCCTCCCCTTATGTTATCAAACAGAGACTCGGCGAGTGAGTGAATCTACCCAGAGTTGGAGCTTCCTTTGCGGCTTGGGAACACCAGTCCCACCGTGTCTCTGTGGCTTGCCTTTAGGTAATTTTGACCATGACTGTAGAACCCAGCAGCTCAGAATCCGTGAAAAGGAGAGTGGGGAGGAGGTAAGTGGTACAGGCAAGGACATTTTGATGTTATAATTGTTGAGGGAACTCTGACTGGTGGGCATGATTGAAAACATGATTTATGGGCTTGTTAAAATCTCCATTTGTACAGATGAGCTGTTGATTTCATATGAAGGGCATGAGTAAATTCTGTTTTATGTGCCCTGCAAAGAGCTTCTCTTTGGATTTACCTGCAGTGTCATGCTTTGAGAAAAAAAAAATTCAAGTTTCTGGCATAAAACGCACATGTGCTCTGCGTACTGGCGTGCAGGCAACTGTTTGTTTCTAATTAGGGAGTTGAAGCCTGCTGGCAGAGGAAACCATATTTGTCACAAGTTGTAGCATTGTGTTTAGTTTATGTGTCTGTGTTTTTAACATGGAGGGCCAACGATAACCGTACTGCCCCCCCGCCCCCCTGGCGTCTACTCTAACTCCTGCTCTAAGCTCTGTGGTGTATTAATCCATTCTTACTTTCCCCTTCAGAGCCTGCTTCAATTAACACTCCTTATTCTCCCACGTATCGCCCGCTCTGATCATTGCAACCACCCCAAACCTCAGAGTTTTTGTAGATATAATAAAATTTACTTGGGCAGGTTGTTGTAAAAATTAAATGAGATGGTAAATAGAGTACCTAATAGATTGTCTGAAAATAGCAAATGCTTAGGACATCTTCCTTTTCTATCACCTATAGAATAAGAGGCTTATGATACATGATCCCTAAGTTATTTAAATTATTATTAGTTTAACAAATGTTTGCTGACTGCCTGCTGCCAGATACCTTTTTAGGCATTGGGATTATAATCATGAACAAAACAATACAACAAGAATATAATTTACTTGCATGAAACTTAAATTTTAGAGAACACAATCAACATGCAGGGAAATACATAAAGAGTTTTTTCCCACCCCCTCCTCCCCACCCCCCACTTCATCTTTGTAAGCTCAATCCAATTTAAACTTTAAATTTGTCTCTGAGGCTACTTTTTAAAACCGGGAAGGGATATTTTTTACTTAATATTTTCATATTTAGTAAACATGTACGGGTTTTCCCTTGCCTGAATCCATCCCCTCTGTCCTGATAGGAGGACCTCACATATCCTCTGGAGAACCACCCTTGGTCTCATTTTCAGTGTTTTATCAGGTGGGGCTTCATCCTGGCTCCAGGAGTTCTGTAGGAGAATGTTGTATGCTCCCAGATACTCTGGGAAGACTGGCTTATTCATGTAATTCCATATCCCAAGGCCACAAGGATTGGCTTGTGCATAACCACATGACCTCGGTTTTTTCCAATAAAAGCAAATCCAAGGATTTATGTGGGAATTTCGGTATACAGACAAGCTCCCTCCGATCCTGTACAGGATTGGTGTTTAGTGTTACCCCATATCAGAAGGGCTTGAGAAGCAACTAGATTCTTCTTTCTAAAGATTGTTTCTCTGCTTCTCAACGATCTTCCTAGTGGCTTTTACAGAACTATTAATGGGGCTTCTTATCCTATTATTTCTCCTATTTTGGCCTTCAAAATTGGGAACTCTACAGTGATGAAAAAGCTTTTGACTGATAACCCTTCCTATTAGATTGTAACACCCAGTCTGTGCTATCCCAGCATCAGAAAAAGGCTTTCATGCACTTCACGTATTCTGAAGCCCAGTACGTGAGTCTGACAATAATTATGTGCTGAGATAACTTAATTGTCAAGTTTATGATAGTTTATGATAGCAGAAACAGTCAGAAACCATATACGGTATGTGTCTTCTTTGTTCATTTGTCTGAATTGGAATACGTTTGCAATAGGAAAGCCATTTGATCTTTTGAAAGTGCTTTATAACATGTGGCTGTGGTTACCTTACACAAAACAGCGTGCTTGTATCAATTTTTAAAGATAGGTGCTCCCTAAGCATTTCTTTATCTTATTTGGGAGGTGGACATATTAAGGAAGGCATTATAAGATTTTAAAAAAAGACTCTTTGTGCATTAATTCACTTATACATTTGTTTACCCCCCCCAAAAATTGGCAGGCTTCTGTTGTCACTGTTGTAGACACTGAGGATACAGAACTGAGCAATGCTTTCACCATTTGGGGGGACAATTGAGAATTCCTCTAAGAAGTTTCCTTGAATGTGTGCAAAAAACCCCCAAAAAACTCCCACTCCTCCTCCCTCGATACTAACTACTTTACTCTGGGTGGAGGTGAGGTCCAAGCGCTTGGAGAACTAAACACGCGTCCCCAGGAGCCCAGCGTGAGTAACAAAGCTGAGAAGCAGCCCCGAGTGTCGGCGCGGCAGGACCGCGGAGAGCGCCCCGGCCAAGTCCAGGGCGGGGCCGTGGCCCGCGTTCCCGGACGATGCTCGTATCCGCCGGAACCCCCCAGGGGGCGCTCGTGCGGAGGTTTCTGAACTAGTATCTTGCCGGGTTGCTGGGCGCATGGTTTCGTCAGAAGGTGGAAATCTCTCTGTGAGAAGCTGCCGTCTCCCCGCCACCCGCTCTTGTCCCCTTGTCTTCTCTCCTTCCTCATTTCCTTCCTCCCTCTCCTCTACACTTCCTCCCCCTTTCTCCAGTACCCTTCTCTTTACTCTTTGAGTTAACTGACAGCCGACCTGCCATCTCCAGCATTTCACCCTCTTCCCCCACCCCCATCGCCAAGAATGGAGTCAGGGTTTCCGGAGAGACCAAACTCTCCTCTCAGCATCTCTTGCGTCCGCTGTTGCTAAACTGGCCTCAGAAGACGAGGGGGAGGGCAGTCCGACCCCCACCCCCTTACACCACTACACAACTACAACACAAGCCACCTTCACTCCAGAGGCGGATTTTGCATCCGAGGGGCGGGACAGACCTCGTCCCGGGCTGAATTCTCTCTCTACTCTTGGAGCTTGGCACACCCAGGTAAGTAAAAGCCAACTCTGTGCTCCTGTGTTCTCGACGCGCTATGATCGCAAAGTCTGTCTGGGCTGCTGCGTAGCAAGACCAACTTTTGAGATGCACGGGCTTTCGCTTAAATTTGTCTGTTTATCATTGCTGCTGTTGTTTTAAGAGGCAGCTGCAAGCCTTGTCTTTAATTTAAAGGAACTTTCATCCCATACTTCTGTCTTCTGACATCCAGTGGATGGATGGGGCCAGGTGGGATGGGGCGAATGGAGTGGGGAGGAAGACCGTGGGGGGGGGGGGACTACAGCGCACGGGTGAGGGGCGGGTCAGGGAAGCCCTGAACGGGGGAAGGGATTATTGTTGGGAATGGGGAGAGGGAGCGGGGAAGAGTCCAGCTGAAGTTGCAGCTTCCTCTCTGACAGTGAGAAAGCTGTGGGACATTGTAGTGATATCCAGTGGCTTATCTGTGGCTGGATTCAACCTCTCAACCTTCTCCCCCACCCCCCTTACCAGGAGGTTCCAGCAATATCTAGTTGCATCCAGCGCTCTCTGGCCTAAGACTAATCAATAGGCTTGCAGGTGCTTTGATTCAGTTCAATCCTTCAGTGCTGCTTCCTCTGTTAACTAAAGTAGCCAGAGGGAAAGGGGGGTGGGGTGGGGCAGGACTGAAGGGATCACTGAAGCCAAGCCACAGCTGATTAAAAAGATCACAGATGCGCAAGGGTTGTTAGGACTGAATCAAAGGGAGGCAATTAGGCGCCGGTCCATGCCAAGTCAAGTGAGTGCTGATTACCCTTCGGTGGGGGGCGGGCTGATCCTGATGGATACACCTTCTCTCCAAGTAGATGATGGGCTTTAAGGCGCCAGTTCCCATTCTCCCCTCCAGATTTGACCACGCCCCCGAGTGGCCTTCCAGGACTGGCCTCCAGTCCCAGAACTTGCTAGGCTCCAGGAAAAGTCACAAACTGCAGAGATGATGCCTGGGGTACAAACTTATGAAGGGCTTAACGCATTGGTTTGGTAGCTGGAGAGAGGAAAGATGAGCAGAGGGGGTGGGCTGGGGCAGGGGGCACTCTCAGTGCCCTGGGAAAACTTTGCGGGAGAAATACGAGAGCACTACCTGCCCCTCCCCATTTTCGTAGGATCTCGGTGCCTTTGGGAAGAGATGTCTCAGCACCTTTACACTCTGCCAGCCAAACTGTGTAAAACCAACTGTTCATCCTCTTGCTGCTTTGCCAGGGATTTAAAAAAGCACTATTCTGATTTTTCTTGGCTCTCTTGGGTTTCCGTTTCCTGAACAGCGCTTTTGAGCTGTCCAGGGTACTCCAACATGTTCTTAAACGGAAGAGGCTAACCCTTGTTCTTATTAAAAAAGCAAAAGCAAAACCAGAACGATTTTAACTTCAAAAAAGTATTATTCTTCAAAGTCATAATTTCATTAAAAACAATTTTTAAAAGTATTATTTTTCTTCCCATTCTTCTCACTTTTAAACAATTTCTGTTCTCAAAGGCATTTGTGTTTTATTCTTTGCAGTATATTAAAACAAACTAAAAGCCAAAACAAAATAAAACCCCCCAAACTTTCCTAGAACATAGGTGTTTTGAATTTATGCCAATGTTTTGTAGTTAGTATGCACCGTTAAAAATTTCAGCATATCCTTCCAAAATCCAGGGGCAAGCAACATCTTTATTTTATTTGATACCCTTCAAGTTTAGGAAGGTCTCACTTCTTTCTATTAACCAGAAGATAAGACTGAGCTCAGCATGGCTCTGTGATTAGGTAACTTCTGATATTTTCATTTCGCTTACTGAGCAGCTGCTTCTAGGTCGAATTCATTTTATTTGCCTGCCCATTTTTAAAGAGAGATGGACAAAGTCACCCTAGTAGATCAGAGCTCTGAGCTCTGAGTAAGGTCAAAGGTTCTTACATGTAAAAAGATGGATAAAAATAGAGAGAGGGTTGGAAAATACAGCTAGGACACCCGTGTTAATAACGTACACCAACAAAGGCCAAGATTTTCTCATTTATCTCTGATGGGAAGATTCTGATGGTTTTGTAAGATCAAACTCAAATCATATCTGAACGAGGTGATTTTCTGTGTGTGTTACATAAAAAGATACACTGGCCCATGGCAGGAGTGGATGTTTTGAATGATTGGGTAACAAAAGCTTGTCTGTAATGAAACCAAGGGTCTACTTACGTGTTATTATATGAAAACTCCTGTGGCCATCTAACTTCTGTCTTCCCTGTGAGTGGCCAGCCTCATTTTTATTCTTCCAGACACAGGCCCAACATACTTGACTGAGACATAGATGAGGTACAGTGAGTTTCCCAGCATTAGACAATCACTTTAGTAGAATTTATAAAGGTTTCTTTAAAAATAGTTCCTCTAAGTTTGTGAGGTTTTTTTTTTTCCTTAATTGTAAAAAGACTTTCAAAGATTTTCTGTTTATCTCCAGGTCCCTAATAGCAACAAGGCATTTTGTTTATATTATTGGTTTGTCTTGTGGGGACTCTGCTTTCAGAGGCTTTAATTAAAAGATGCTTGTTCCAAAGTAATTCTTGATGTGCATATAGGTTTCTGGTTAAAAATAACTCATTTCAGTTAGTAGGAAGCAAGAGTATTATCTGTTTACAGAGAAGTTTTATATAGTTTTCTGAAAAATAGACAAAAGAGCATTTTCATTATCAGGTGGGATTTGAGTCTATTGTTATGACTGAAAACATTGTGTAAGAAATAATCACAGAGGATCAAAATGTGTTCATGGCGGAATCTTTATTCTCATCTGAATTTGAAGCTTTTGGAACTCAAATGGATGCATTGACAACATTTGCACCCTTTCTTCTGTTTTCACTTTGAAAACGCCCTAAAATGTAACACTGTGGACCATCGCAGTCACTTTTATCCACACAAATAAAGGATTTTGACATTTAGAGGAAGTCAGTAGTCGATGTTGTGTGTAATTAGTGCCCCACAATTTCAGAGGGGTCTAAATCCAGAACAAAGAATGAAAGAGGACTCTGATGGTAACAACCTGGCTGATTAAATTCAAGTCTTTCTACTAGTTGGGAAAAATCACTTCATGAGTCTTCACATTTTTTAAGCAGAGATGTGACAAGATCCATATTCCATGTGTCCTTAAGAAGAAAAGGTATACATTTGTTTTCTATATTTGATCTCTCCATTTATATCTTGTTAATATTTTAAAACAAAATAAACAAAAATTCCCATGAATTCATGCAATAACCAAAGTCATATTTCCTTGGCAACAGTAGCCAGTACATTGGAGTTACAAAATATCAGGACAGAAAATTTTAAATACACTCAAAATAAAATGCCACATGGTTCAAGACCATTCTTCAATGCCTGAAAACTGACCTCCCAGCATATAAGAACAGAGTTGTCTTTCTCCTGATTGAATGTAGATGGTAAAGAACAAATTGCAGATTTAAATTCTTCTTAGCACATTCCCCAACCTCTTATAATTTTTTTCTTTTCAGAGAAGCATGTTATGAATTTAGTTCGGGGTCACAAATCCCCTCTTTGGGTAAGGTATTTATGTGAAGGTGCTGGTAAATACAAAGTTAAGCTGAATAAATGGGTCAGGTAAGATGCACTATCTTTCTATCCTATTTGAAGTAGACCAGTTTAAATTAGCATTAAGCTGGATCAGTAAATATCTGCTAAAACTTATGATTCCTTAATAGTAGTGCCTACATATACTTACAAATTTTTTTTTATGCTAGAAATCTCAGTTATATGAGAGCTTTATGTCTGCTCTATGAGCTAGAAAATATATGTGATACTACGTGTATAGTATATATTTTCCCCTACACTGGCATGTCCTGGGAAGTCTTTTATTTGTCTGCTGTGTTTTGGAAAGCCTCTTGAGAACCACTAGCTTTTTATCTCAGTAAATATTGACGGCCTCAAGGCAAGTCTTGAAAAGAAAAAAGTGATAAGGATGCCTTTTGGGAGAAGGTTTATGTCAGACCTATGGCTTTAGTACACTCCACAAGGTGGGGGGAGCCCATTTAAGCTGCTGTGTGATGGGCTCATCTCTAAACTGAACAGTAACTTTATCATTTTGAATGTGTGACTCTTGGAACTGGAAGAGAGCTTGAGGATAATATACTGATTCTAACTGTTTAATTTGACAGGTGTAAAAGCTAAAGCTCAGGGGGATGCTTTGCTTAAAATCAGGAAACTCATTCAATGACCCTCTTGATCATTCCCATCATAAAGAGACTCAAGTTCCCTGGGGATAATAACTGTAGTGGCACCAACCTCTGGTGCCATGTGTACCAATAATCTTTATTAGTATGAATTGGGGATGATTGGGGAGGCGTCTTCCACCTCCATTGAAATGTTCAGAGGAGCAGGCTTGGGACTTAGTACGTTGGTCTCTCTTGGAGCCAGTGCAATATTTACCCAATAGATGTGATTAAATTTGTACAAAGTCATTGTCTGCAGCCATCTCTGGTAATGTGCATGTTCTGTGAAGAATTGCTCATGCATAGTTTTAGCTTTCCATTTTAAATGTCACAACCAAGTTAATAAACAGAGAGTTTATGAATGTTTACAGTTCTCAGAACACACAAGGGAATCCTTTATTCTGTTTTAAATTAAAGCTCCGTTTAAAAAGAACAAACTTTCTTAAACATTGCTTTTACATCTCTGGCTCAGAATATAATACTTCTAACTTCATTTTCCTTATTACTTAGAAAACTAGAAAAAATTTTCCTTGGAAACACCAGGGGGGGAAATACAATAACCCTACAGACCTTCTCAGGTTTAAGGTATTTTTGACTGAAAGGACTCCTTCCTTATCCAAGAGATCTCCAGCTATTATAGGGAAATTTGTCTGAGGGAGGAGGAACAAAATTAGGGCGGCAGGGGTCCAAGGCCAGGCAAGAGCAAGGGTGAGTCTGGAAAAGACTGGCTAGAGACGAGGCCTTAGTATGGACAGCCGCTAGAGGGCGCCGGCGCACCGGCGGAGCCCACCTCCGGGGACCG